CAAGTCAGAAGGAGCCCAGGCAGGTCACTTCCTATCAGCACAGGGGGGCTGGGTCAGGGTTACAGAGACCACAGTAGGGGCGCCCAGAAGGGGGCTCCTTCCCCCTCTCCCTTCCTCTTTCAGGGGTGGGACCACCCTCCACTCCCCCAGTGCACGCTGCCCAGGGAGGGAGGGCTGGAGACAGCTCACATCTGGAAAGGGCTTTAAAAGCTGACGTGTTTTGCACACAATATGCTGAGTGAAATAAGACAGACATAAAAAGGCAACCAGCGTGTGAGTAGGTTGGGTGGATTTCACACATTCTTATTTCAACGTTGTTCAAAACATATGTATTATGAAAATAAAAAACAAAAATCACTCCCCCGGCTGCTTCCTCTGGGGTCTTGGCTTCTAAAGCTACAAGGCCTAATGAGGGAGTGCTGGGGGTGGGGGGATGGGGCCGCTTACCCGGGACCCTGCAGCTCCATCCACGCCTCGGAGGCCGGGCTCCCCCTGTGGAGACACCATGCAGTTGCAGTGCCCCCATGCCCCACCCCAAGCCAAGGCCTAGATAGCGCCCATGCTTCCTGCCCCACTAAGCCTGCACCCCTGCTGGTCCTCAGCCTGCAGCACTCTATAATCCTTTTCTTTCCACCTGCCCCTCCATGTCAGCATTTATCCATGTATCCCCTGCTCTGTCCACCCTTCCTCGAGGCCCAGCTCCCCCCTGCTGGTCATCTACGTCACCATTCCCCAGCTAGCCCTCCACCAATGTGAGTTTTACAAAAGATCTCTTTGCTCAAGAACCCACTCTGGATCCTCAAAAACAAGCAAAACGCAAGCCAAACTCCCTGCTGTAGAGTGGATGCCCACTCACTGACCACTCGGACAGATGAGAACTGCCCCTCTGAGTTTCCCAGGTTGGAACTCTTCATGGGAGTAGAAAGCCCAGCCTTTCTCCCGAGGTTTCGAACTGCTGCCTTTGCAGATCACAGCCCAACGTGCCACCACGACACCACCAGGGCTCCTCAGTGCCGGTCAAATGGAGCCCTCATTCCAGCCTGGCATCCCTCATCCCTTTCCGGGCCTCCCCTGTAGGCCCAGAGCTCCTCCCATGCGGCCCCCACCTGCCTGGACAAAGCATGTCCTCCTGGGCCTGCACCTGACCCCATGCCACACTACGCATGGCGGGGTGTGTGGCCAGGGAGCGAGCTGGACTGAAGTGCTCCTGCAGCAGACTGCCCCACCCGGTCCCCGCCCTGGGAACCACGAGCGAGCGAGCACCAACGTCTGCACAGAGAAAGAGGCCCCGCTTTGCCAGCTGCTGGGCAGGGTCAAAGGCCAATACCTCCCCAGCTCCCGGAGCGGGTGTGCTTTTCTCTTGCTCACCCCAACAGTCCCCGGAGGATGGGGAAGGCCCAGGGCGGCTCCGCTGGGCTGCAGACCAAGGAGTCTCAAGGGAGGCTTCCCTCTTGGCCACAGCCTGGGTGAGGGGGTGTGTGTGGGGTAAGAGGGGGGGTTCCCGCAGCACTGATTTCCTGGGGCCTGGTGCTGCCCTCCAGGTG